TATTATTATAATAAGGGTTTTGTCCCTTATGGCTTTATTCAAAATAAAGTAAACATAACAGTAAAACTAAAAAAAAGCTTTAAATTTTAAATTATTTTTCTTTTAATATTCATTTTATGGTCATTATTTTATGTAGTAGCTGTCATAACTTGTCAATTTTCTAAAACATCAGACTTAAAAATATTTGATAAAAATAGCTGTCATCAAAGCTCGTCAATCAACCATCATCAATAGATCGAACAGATGGACCAATCGTTAATAATTGGTTGTATATTATTTTTTTATGCTAGAAGTAAGTAATATTTCTTTTAAATCAGATTAATTTAACACTAAATTTTCTAATTTTACTAAAATAACGTGTCAGAAATTTTAAAAAATATTTTTAAAATCAATAAATTTTTGTTTGTTTACAAATTACTTAAAATTAAGAAAATGGCCGTTTTTAAGAAAATTTAAGAAATCAAAATTAAATTTGACATTCCAATGTATATAGTTTTTATCTGAAATACACCAGAATTGTTTACTTAATGGAAATAATAAATTTAATTATTAAACTTTCAATTAAATCTAAAGTGAAATCTTCAAGAATGTTTTTTCATTTTAAAAAATTCATTTTAAATTTAGGTATCGAAAATTTATGCCGAAAAAGTGGAGGTACCTGGTTAAAAAAGTATAATGCCAAACTGGACCCAGATTTTATAGCTACTGATGTTCAATTTAATGCATGAATTGAATGTAAAATTGAAAGTTGATTTTGTGTTTGTTTACACAAAGATAGCCGTCAAAGAAAGACTGAATCCAAATGGTCTACACATGCACATGTACAAATAAAAAAAGTCAAAAGACCCAACCGTAAATTTTAGATTTATTTAAAATTTAACAACCTCTGTTTTTTTTTTTTTTTTAATCTTGTAAGTTAAAGGTCGTATCCTGTTTTGTCAAAATTCAGTTCTTTGATGTTGAAGCTGGAGTGTATAAGGAATCTGTGTATTGCCCAATATTTACATGGCATTCCTCTTGGAATTTAAAACAGACAGCATCAGAGGAAAGCAGGTATTAAATAAAAATTAAAACATTGGCTGTATGGGTTGCCCAAAAGCTGTCACTATTTACAGGAAATCATTTTTGGGACTCCACTCCAGTTTTCTTTCTGGATTTACTTAGTCTTTTCTGTTTTTTGGATATGACTGCAATAAACAGTATTAAACAACATTTACCGGCCTGAATGTCCGAGAAAATTTCATAGAAAATATTTGTCCTCCGATGAAAATATTCTTAAAAATAGAAAATATTCGTCCTCTGTTTATTATAAACAGAGCATTTATTTAAATATTTGTATCTATAAAAAGAATGTATAAACATAAAAAAATGTCTTAAAATAATTGTCGGACTTTGTCCATTTCATAATGTGTGACGTCATTTGTTTACATTGGATTTTTAATGAGCAGATATGAATGTACGTGAGAAAATTCATGGAAGATACAAAAAAATTTATTTTAAAGGCCTTGCTTATCCTCTGAAAAAACGGTTTTAAAGGCCTGTCAAGCTATATGATGGTTCCATATAGGATACAAACCAATCCTGTTGGAGGACGAATATTTTCTATGAAAATTTCTCGGACATTCAGGCCGGTAAATGTTGTTTAGTACTGTTTATTATAAATAGAGCATTTACTTAAATATTTGTATCTATAAAAAGAATGTATAAACATAAAAAATGTCTTAAAATAATTGTTGGACTTTGTCCATTATATAATATATATATATATATACACATATATATCATAGATATAGAATATTAATGATATAAATAATTAGAATCCATCTTTGCAAACAAATTTAATAAAGTACATTAACCCCAAACAGGGATTTTCTTGTTGTCTGTTTATATCTATATGTTCATATCTATGTCTGTTTATATCTATATGTTCATATCTATGTTCTTATTTTTGTACACAAATTTCTATGAGCAGTTTTTGATTGATTCCATTTTTTATTTTTATTCAGAAAATCACTTTTCTTAAAGCAATTGATGAAAAAGCCTAAATAACATCAGTGCTAGTGTGACGGTCAAAATGTTTTTTGCTGTTAAGAAATATTATAAATAATGTCAACATCGACAAGTCAAGAAACATTTCTTTTTAATTTGCCACACCGAAGATTTTTCGGCAAAAAGGATCAATCAAAAATGGTCTGTAAATTAGCACAAAATTTATACCCTTTCCTCTAAGAATTTTTATTTCTTGCAAATGTGAAATTGTTTTTTCTTAATATGACGGAGAAATAAATGATTGACGCATTCTACTGTTTCGAAGTAGGCTTTCGACGGTTTGCCCATATTTAGTGGGAATTCTATTGTTAAGAATTGGTTGAATCTACAACTACTAATTTAGAGTAATTGGCTTGTTTGAAAAACATTCAAAGAGAAATTTTTTTTTTTTTTCAACTGCAAAAGTCAACAAAATTTTTCTGTTTGAATGCACAAATCTTTGTGTTAAAAATGTAATGAAGCAAATGTTCATTTTAACAAGTCCCAAATCCTTGTCTCGTGAGCGCTTCAAATGAGTTGAACATACCAAAAAGTTCCTTGGAGAATTCATTTGAGTTGGAATCATTCCTTTGTTAAAAAAGACATTATTTTGCAGAGAAACAAAAGTTGTATAAGGAAAATACTTTGATGATAATTTTATCTTTACAAGAG